ATTGTTGTCAGACCTGAGTCAAACGTTGACACATGCACTGGAAGGCAAAGCTCTGCTTGTCTTGGTTCACCAGGGAGTCCACAAAGAAGTGCACAGAGTGCTCATGTTCACACTTCACAACTTCACCAATGGCTGGAGAAGCAGAGTTGCAAGGGGATACAGTTTAAGCGTTTGGCACCACAGCAGCTGGTGAGACAGAGTGAGCTTTTTTGGCCAAACTTGAACATCTTTCCAAACAGTAGTAACTCAAGAGGTTAGTGCAGGACACTCCAAGAGGACTTGTTTAGTGTCTACCATAATAAAGGGATCTTAAGAGGATTCTAGACCCAGCATTACAGAATCACAGAGTTACTGAGGCTGGAAAAGACCTCTGAGATCATCAAGTCCAGCCTATGACCAACACCACCACAGCAGCCAGACCATGGCACTAAGTGCCACATCCAGCCTTTCCTTGAACACCTTCAGGGATGGTGCCTCCACCACTTCCCTGGGCAGTGCATCCGAATGTCTGATCACCCTTTCCATGAGGAAGTACTTCCTGATATCCAACCTAACCCTCCCCAGTGCAGCTTCAGGCAAGACCCTCTTGTTTTGTTGCCAGTTGCCTAGAGAAAGAGCCCAGTTCCCACCCGACTCCAACCTCCCTTCAGGTAGTTGTAGAGGGAGAAGGTCCCCCCTGAGTCTCCTCCAGGCTCAACAACCCCAGCTCCCTCAGCCTATCCCTACAAGACTTTCCCTCTAGTCCTTTTACCAACCACATTGTTCTCTTAATTACAATGAGCATTTTGCAACCAGGTGTTAAGAGCGAGAACATGTTACTTCAGAATTAAAAGCAGGTCTAGTTTCTAGCAACTTATCTCCAGTAGCACAGGCAGTTTTGGAAGGAAAAGCATGTTTTTTCTGCCCTTGTGAATCAGATCATCCCCCAGCATCAACCCAAGTCTGTTTGTGAGGAGTCTACACTGACCAGAGATAAAACAAGTGGTGAGAACTTACTCCCATAGGCAATTGCTCCCAAGACATCACTTAGGCCACAGCCAGGCTGGAAGTCTCCCCCGTTGGGGTAGATGTCAAGGTGGCCTACAGGCATCTGGATCCCAATGCTAACACCAAGGGTTTCCCTTGTGTAGGTGTGAAGGACATCCACAAAGCTGGCATCATCGGGGGACAGGCGCCTGCTGGGGTCCACTCCTTCAAACATGGGGCCAGCTGGATCCAAGCCTGGTGTTGGAGACAGTTCCCAAGAGGCCAGGTAAGCAAGTGGGTTATTTCACATTGAATCTAGCTAGGAGCCTGCTGCTAGCAGGACCACAGGTACAGACAGTCCCTGCCTCATTGTAGATACTGTCCCCCAAGATGTCTTCACCATGAGTGTCCTGAGGGACCCAGTGAAGATGTCCCATACCCCTTTTGGTGCAATACAACCCAGCAGTAGCACCAGTTTGCTCTGCAGAGATGGCTTCAGATCACCTCTTGGGAGCAATGAGTCTTTGCTAGGTGTGAAGGACCAGGTATTTCCTTACACGAACATGAAATGTCCTTTGAGTCAGCCGACAAAACTGACTTAAAACGGTGTCTCCACACGGCAGGAAACCCCCTCTGTGTGTGTATGGGGGGGGGAGCAGCTGCTGCAGGGGAGGAGCCGTGGCCGGAAGCAGGGGCAGGACTAGGTCCCGTCTGATTGGCTGAAAAGCCCGGAAATGCAAAACTGGCGCCGAAGAACCCCATGAGAGAGGCAGCGCGACACGCCCCTCTCTCTCTCTCTCTCTCGCTCTCTCCTCGTGTGTTCGAGGC